CGCAGAAATCCCTCAAAACCGGAGGCACTTTAACACTTCACTACATTTTTGGCGACTTAACAGGTTGACAAATTCAGCCAAACTAACATTTTTTTACCTGAGGGATGACTTTTTGAACAGAGATCTTCGTGACCTTGTTTACTGCTATGAATCAAGAGTATAGAAAATTAAAGCATTATCAAGATTGCAACCGAAGGTCAACAACCATAATTAACGTTATACATATTAAACGTTGTTACACGCACGAGTTAACGTTACATTAAGACTTTATGTTATGTTACCAGTATATAGACGGCGAACCGATTTTGCAGCAAAAACCTAAGGCACCGCAGTGTCAGTTGAAGCACTGTTTGTATGAAATTGTTAATATGACGTTCTCCTCGGCCAAAACAACTTAAAAATGATTTTTAAAAAGAGTTCACCTACACGTTAGCCCACACGTGTCCTAAAAGTCAACCTAACTTAAGTTACATTGAAGTTAGCTAGCTAACGTTGTCACTTACCAGTAAGCGAACGGCGGTGGAAACTTGCTAATAATGCTACAGGTTTTCATTGTAAATGCTAATATTTGAAACAAGCCAACATAGGTGCATTGTAATGATAAAACAGCTAGAATACAATGAGAATTATTTATATTAAACTCACCACTGTATCCTTTTCATGCTCGAAGTGAGGCCAAGAAAATGGCGGCTGTCGCAAATCTCCACAGGCATACCTGCTCAAATGCCCGGATGTTTAAAGTAACACTCTTCTGTGTTGAATACCATTAATACTAATGTTACACCATCAACATTATGTCATTATGTTTTCTCATTAGCACAGAGTTCACTCTAGTGATGGAAAGTTCGGACCATTACTCCTTCAATGCCCACTGACTTCGCTGCTGCTTTTTTAGAGTGTGATTTCCACTTTTCGGAAGGTCTAGTCTCCTTTGTGCCTGGACCCTTTCCTCTCTCCCTTCCACTCTACATGCTCCCGGATCTTGTCCATTGCCTCGTTTAGGGAGACGTCTGCCAAGAGCACATCTGACCCTTGGCTAAATGATACCACCCATGCTTTGAGGAGATGCTGCAGGCGGGCCGAGCACAAATAGAAGAAGGATTGGCTGCATGTCTCCCTGGCCATCTTAAGAGACAGTACTTGCTACTTATCAAAAAGCTGCAAAAGAAGCTAAAGCTCAATATTTATCCAATATCATCTCTAACAATAGCCACCATCCTAGAGTTCTTTTTAACACTATAAATTCTGTAATTAATCCTGTCACTACCGTGTTTAACGAGGTGTCTGTGCATACCTGCAGTGTGTTCCAACAGTACAGTGCCTTGCGAAAGTATTCGGCCCCCTTGAACTTTGCGACCTTTTGCCACATTTCAGGCTTCAAACATAAAGATATAAAACTGTAATTTTTTGTGAAGAATCAACAACAAGTGGGACACAATCATGAAGTGGAACGAAATTTATTGGATATTTCAAACTTTTTTAACAAATAAAAAACTGAAAAATTGGGCGTGCAAAATTATTCAAATCCACATAAGGGATGACGGCAACATTCATAGATCCTGGAATGCACAATGAGGGGCAATGTTCATTCCTATTACAGAGGCCCACTGAAATTTTTTTGAGGAAAAGCTGTGTTAGACTGCATATTGTTTATAGTAAAGTATTTTTATATACAAATATAAAAATGAAAATGTTTCTGGAGTGGGACTTTAATTAATTATAGAAGTTGTGCAGAAGCTGCCCATAGCTCTACACAGTGATCCATGTGTGTACTGTATGTGTTTCTATGCTGCTCCAAATGAGTCTGTTCTGGTTCAACTTGTCTTATTAAATGAGCTTAAAAATAAAGTGACACCTTAGTTATAAAACACTGAGCAGGCTGTAACACACAAGAGTGTGTCCTTTATGGAAGAGTGGCAAGAAGAAAGCCATTTCTTAAAGATATCCATAAAAAGTGTCGTTTAAAGTTTGCCACAAGCCACCTGGGAGACACACCAAACATGTGGAAGAAGGTGCTCTGGTCAGATGAAACCAAAATCGAACTTTTTGGCAACAATGCAAAACGTTATGTTTGGCGTAAAAGCAACACAGCTCATCACCCTGAACACACCATCCCCACTGTCAAACATGGTGGTGGCAGCATTATGGTTTGGGCCTGCTTTTCTTCAGCAGGGACAGGGAAGATGGTTAAAATTGATGGGAAGATGGATGGAGCCAAATGCAGGACCATTCTGGAAGGAAACCTGATGGAGTCTGCAAAAGACCTGAGACTGGGACGGAGATTTGTCTTCCAACAAGACACTGATCCAAAACATAAAGCAAAATCTACAATGGAATGGTTCACAAATAAACATATCCAGGTGTTAGAATGGCCAAGTCAAAGTCCAGACCTGAATCCACTCGAGAATCTGTGGAAAGAACTGAAAACTGCTGTTCACAAATGCTCTCCATCCAACCTCACTGAGCTCGAGCTGTTTTGCAAGGAGGCATGGGCAAAAATTTCAGTCTCTCGATGTGCAAAACTGATAGAGACATACCCCAAGTGACTTACAGCTGTAATCGCAGCAAAAGGTGGCGCTACCAAGTATTAACTTAAGGGGGCTGAATAATTTTGCACGCCCAATTTTTCAGTTTTTTATTTGTTAAAAAAGTTTGAAATATCCAATAAATTTCGTTCCACTTCATGATTGTGTCCCACTTGTTGTTGATTCTTCACAAAAAATTACAGTTTTATATCTTTATGTTTGAAGCCTGAAATGTGGCAAAAGGTCGCAAAGTTCAAGGGGGCCGAATACTTTCACAAGGCACTGTACTTCATTGATAAAGTTCTGTCTATCAGGCAGAGTATCCCCATGTCCACAACTGCTGCTCCAACTGAGTCTTCTGTACAGTTTGCCTTGGAGAACTTTATGCCAATTTCCTTGTCGCAACTCAAAAAAATCAGTGCAGCAGCTAAATTCCACTTATTGCCCTCTGGATATTGTCCCTGCTAGGATAATGAAGGAGGTCGTTGACACTATTGGGCCTTGCCTGGTCACATTTATTAACAGCTGCCTCAGGCTGGGTATTGTCCCCACTGCCCTTAAGCACACTGTAGTCAGACCACTTTTCAAGAAGCCTAACCTCGACCCCACACTCCCTTCTAATTTTCACCCAATCTCACATTTGCCTTTTTTTATCCAAGGTTATAGAGAAAATTGTCCTCACACAATTACAGTCTCATCTTGAACTTTATGCTGTTGTCGATAAATTTCAATCAGGCTTTAGGTCCCGGCACAGCACTGAATCCGTGCTATTGAAGGTGCACAATGATATTCTTACAGCCCTTGATGCAAAGAGTCCTATTGTTCTAGTGCTTCTAGATCTCACAGCAGCCTTTGACACTGTGGACCATACAGTTCTCATTTCCCGCCTTGAACATTGAGGCTTGCGTGGTGCTGTGCTCAAATGGTTTATTCTTTTTCTGATCAATAGGACCTTTTCAGTTATGATCAACGATTCTACCCCTGCAATAGCCCCTTTGCTCGGGTGTTCCCCAAGGCTCAATCATGGCGCCTATTCTTTTCTCACTATATATGCTACCGTTAGGTTCAATTATTTCTAAACATAACGTACGCTTTCATTTTTATGCTGATGATGTGCAGATCTACCTACCGTTGATACAGAGTGATGCCAATGCACTAGCCCCCTTGCACAGGCGTTTGTGTGATTTTAAACAGTGGCTCGCACAGAACTTCCTTCATTTGAATGAGAAGAAGACTGAATACATTGCCTTTAGCCCAGATCACACTCACATCGCACCCGGCCTAGGAGCTTCAGCCCCTTTATTCACTCAAACTGTGAAAAACCTAGGAGTGTTATTTGATAGCAGCCTCAAATTTGACAAGCAGATTAGTTCTGTGGTCAAAATAAGCTTCTTTCAACTGAAGCTCCTAGCAAAGATGAAGCCCTTTTTTTATCTCAAGTCGACCTAGAAAAAGCCATTCATGCTTTCATTAGCTCAAGACTTGATTACTGCAAATCCCTTTACACTGGAATTAGTCAGTCTCTCCTCTGCAGGCTCCAGCTAGTACAGAATGTGGCTGCTCTCCTACTGTCAAATACCTCAAAGTATGCTCACATCACCCCTGTCCTACAGTCTCTTCACTGGCTTCCAGTACAGTTGAGAATTGATTTTAAAATTTTGCTGTTTGTGTTCAAGGCCATTAATGGGCTTGCTCCAGCTTATTTGTCTGATCTTTTAATTATTCATACCCCGGTCAGAGTGCTGCATTCCTCTGAACACTTGTCTCTGGTTGTCCTGCAGGCTAAGTAAAAAAAAAAAGTGGGGTGATCGTTCTTTTGCCATATATGCCCCCAAGCTCTGGAATACCTTGCCCCCTGAGCTTCAGTCTATAATGGAGTTAATGATATTCAAGTCTAATTTAAAGGCACACCTATTCATACTGGCTTTTGGCACTTAATTTTTTAGCAATGGTGCTATACAGGTGCCTACTGATTTTATATTTTGTAATCTTGTTGTTTGTACTTTGACTTATTTTTATAGTGCAGGAGTGTTATAGTTACTCACAGACCGTTGTTTTAAATTTGTGTAATTTTACCTTTTCTTTTTTGTTGTTTATATGTCTTAACATGTTATGCTTTTATTTCTATATGCTCTGTTGTGAAGCACTTTGAGCTCCCTTCGGTGTTGTAAAGAGCTATATAAACAAATAAATTATTAAATTATTATTATTTAAATTATGAGCCCCAGCAGTGCACAAGCCTCAGTATCATGGCTAATGTTATGTTATATCCAGTATTTAAATTTTTGTGTGTGTTTCAAACCTCAGGTAAGACCTTCACAGGGATTCTGTAAACAGAGTGCCGTCTCACGGGCAACAGTTTACATAAAAAGGCTGTGTCAAAATGTATTTACTGCCACATTTGGATGATGAGAGAGTTTCCTTCTTACCAAGGGAATTGTGTTTCTAATAGATTTTTTCTTTCTGTCTCCACAGGAATTTGCTGGACAGGGACACCTTCTCCAAATCAGACCCAAGTAAGACCCTGCAACTGTTTGTCTATCACTCATGGTGAATAACCTGGTGCTTCTGTCAGTGTCTGATTGCTAAGTGAGGTGGCAAAAGATCTGGGTTCTTAATCATTACCGAGTTTTACAGTGGGGGAGGTGAAAGTAATGCCAGTTATAAAAAAAAAAAAAACACACACACACACACATACAGTATATATACACACACATACAGTGTATATGTAGAGCACAATATTGCAAAATGAGAAGGTAAGTATAAGAAAGAAGGGTATAAAGCAAGAAAAAAGGAACGAAATGTATACAGTGAAAAGTAAAGAACAAATGACAAAAGGGCAGAAGACCAAAGGAATGAACAGAGCAGAGTGAGAAATTAATTATCAAATGAAATAAGGGCTATTCTTTAGCTGTATGTGTAACTTCTTATAAGTGTGTGTTTTTCCTCACAAAATGTGTGAGCTCAACTCGAGGCAGGTCTGACTAATGCATATGAGGCCAATTAAGAGGTTTTTCCCTATAGATTCACAGGATGACAGTTTTATCGTCCTTTCCCCTCAGTTAAAGCCATTACAGTTATACAATCAGGACCAGTGCTGTAAGTTAAAGGAACAATTTGACATTTTGGGGAATATGTTTAATCACTCCCTTTCCAAGAGTTATAGAAAAGTGATCTCACTTATCTTGACCTGAAAACTCGACCCTACTTGAGACTGAACTGAAGGCATTGTATAATTATTTGGTCTCTATATAAAGAAGCAGCTTAATACTTTCGAAGGATCATATCCAGCACGAATAATAAAATAATTCTGCCACACAGAATCCTCATTTATCTGCTAATTCTTGCTATTAGATTTTTTTTTTCTCAGATAGACCCTGGTTTAATCAAGACAGTGGAGGTTGTGGCCACTTACTGCTAGAGGAGTTGGTTATGAAAAAGTATCAAATGAAAGGTTTTTGGATAATTTCTTCCACAGCTTAAAGCAAGAGTTCAGTATTTTGGGAAATATAGTTATTTGCTCAGAGCTAGCTAGCAGCTAGTTATCTTAGCTTTTGTCAGGAATCGGTGCGTTACGCTGCTGATAATGTCAAGGGGTGAACTCAATTATATAGCCAGATGAGTAAAAGCAAAAACTGTTTCTTTAATAAGAGCAACAGTAACAAACTAAAACGATACAGAAAACTGAAGAAACAAGAAACACACTCTCAGGTTGGTCATACAGTGCAGGGTCAGAGCGAGCAAACTTACACATACAAGGTATCCATGAAAGCACAGTCCAAAGACAAACAGAAAACACGATCAGAATCAGAGAGTTAGGCAGTACTTGTTGGTCACAAGGTAGTCTGTGGTCAGAGCTGGAATAACAGGTGCAAGGCAAAATGCTGGAAAGTCTGAACAGGAGTTTAGAATGATCTGGCAGCTTCCCAGTGGGGGAAGCTGCCCATAACGGGGTGAAAACAGGTGTAAACAATAACCGCTGATTAAAGTAAAAGGTCCAAAACTGAGGTAAAAATGAAACAGGAAGTAATGTCAAAATAAAAGCATGGGAACGGAAAGAGGCGGGACAGAATCATGACAGCTTTAGCATAAAGACTGAAAACAGAGTGAATCAGCTAGCTTAGCTCAGTCCACCTAACACACCTCTAAAGCTCACTAATTAACACATTTTATCTCATTCTTTCACAGACTGAAGTGTAAAAATGTCAGTGTTTTGGTTTCACACAAGGGTGTATGTCATACTTTTTCATGGACAGATGCAATAATTTTTTTGAAGTGTGACCTGGTTCCTTGTTAGTCTCACAGTGTTGACAAATGTTTAGCAAATCTTAGCCAAACCTCATATTTAAGAGAGCAGTATTGATCTTCTTATCTAACTTTCATCTATTTCTCTGCAAGAAAGCAAATAATGTGTAAATGTCACACTATTACTTTAGTGATTTATAATTCTATAGCTGAAAACAGTGTCTTAAATATATACTGAGCTGCTATTAGCTGGCTCAGAGTGCAGTTTGACCGTCTGACTGGAAGCCTGAATTTGGAAAATCATTTAAAGTGATTACAGTGTATGTTTCCTGGCTTTATGCTAAGCTAACACCTACTGGTCACATATATGAGAGTGGTATCAATCTTCTCATCTAACTCCAAGCAATATTTCTGTCTCTTTAAAACAGGGTTTGCATTTTGTTAGAATCACTTGGTAAATTCTGGGTGTTGGTATGTACTGTATATGGGTAGGTGTGTTTTTTGGGATGTGGATAGCAGAAGATCAAGGGCAAGATTATTCACTTAAAAATAAATTAAATCCATCATTATCAAAGATGATGAGATGGAGTACAAAGCTACAAAGTACATACTGAGGAAAGCCATCGCAGTGGCCAAGAGGCAGTACCGGGATAAGTTGAGTGGCTTCTATTCTACTGCTGACTCTGGACGGATCTGGCAAGGACTGCAGCACATCACAGACTACAGGACCACCACCAACATCGTCATCTCCACAGACAGCCTGCCGGATGACCTCAACACCTTCTACACCTGCTTTGAGACCTCCAGCCATGGCACAGAGAAGCAGCACACACACACCTGGACCGACTGACCCCTCCCCTCCACTAACTGTCTCACCAGGCCAGGTATGCAAAGTCCTTAGAAAGACCGACCCCTGCAAAGCAGCTGGACCAGACAACATCCCTGGGAGGGCTCTCAGAGCATGTGCCGGTGAGTTGGCTGATGGTTTCACCACCATCTTCAACCGCTCCCTCAGCCAGAGCATCGTTCCCACCTGCTTTAAGACCCACACCCATCGTCTCTTTTCCCAAGAAGAGCCCAGTCACCTGCCTGAACGACTACAGGCCAGTGGCACTCACTCCAGTCATTATGAAATGTTTTGAGAGAGTGGTGCTAGCCCACATTCAGAGCAATATACTGGACACCCTTCATCCCCTGCAGTATGCCTACCTGTCCAACAGGGCCATCTCAGATGCTGTCGTGACTGCCCTTCATTATTCCCTTTCTCACCTGGAAAATGGAGACTCCTACATCAGGATACTCTTCATTGACTACAGCTCCACCTTCAACACAGTTGTCCCCCACAAACTGTCCACACTAGGTCGGCACCCCACCCTCTGTGACTGGATCCTGAACTTTCTGACTGGCAGGCCCCAGTCTGTCAGGATTGGCAACAGGACTTCAGCCAGCATGATCATGAACATCGGCACACCACAGGGATGTGTCCTCAGTCCCATCCTCTACACCCTGTTCACCCATGACTGTGTCACCTCCTACAAGGACAACATCATCCTTAAGTTCGCAGATGACACCGCAGTGATAGGACGCATCACTGGTGGGGACGAAGCAGCCTACAGGAGGGAGGTGGCTAGTCTGGTGTCATGGTGCAAGGACAATAATCTCAGCCTCAACACAGACAAGATGGAGATGATAGTGGACATGAGGAAGGAGAGGAGAACTTAGCCCGCACTGTTCATCCTGGGGCTCGAAGTGGAGAGGGTGAGCAGCTTCAAATACCTGGGTGTCCACATCAGTGAGGACACTCAACACCACACAGCTGGTCAAGAAGGCCCAATAGTGGCTGTACTTGCTGAGGAGACTGAGGAGGTTTGGCATGTCGCCTAGGATCCTTTGCCTTTCTGTCTCCTGCTCTTTCGTTTTTGAGCTATCAGTACCTCAGCTGTGTCGCTTGCTGCAATTAGTGACTCATGGGTTGTCGCGCACAGCTGAGGTGCGTTACTGTAATGACTTCCCTACCTTATTTTAACCTCTGGCAGACGCTCTGTCATCGCCGGAGCATTAACAGAACTTATACCAACATACCTGTATATATACCTTTATTCGTGGTATGTGTCATACATCATTGTGATTTCCATGCTGACAGTTCCTGTGCTGTGGATCTCATTTTGTACGTAGGTTACATGTTTTGTGTTATATGTCTCTAGACGTCCACGCTGACAGTTCCTGTGCTGTGGATTTCCTTTTCGTTTGCCAGTCCTCCTCATTAGTTTGCCTATTCCCCTGTCCGTCCTGTTCCTCCTACTCTCCTGGTTCCTGCCGTTAGCCTGTCTGCTCACCTGTTCGTCCTGGTCTCCGCAACCATCTCTGTCCTACCCGGATTGTATATGTACATGGACTTTGTTAGGTTGTTACTTTGTGTCTTTTTCCATTAAACCCCCTTGTTTTACTAGCACCTGGGATAAATGTATGTGTCATACAAGATATATGCAAGAATAAGATTTATTCGAGAAGGCATTAAGGAAACACTGTTTTAATTCTCTGTGTATTACTTGTTGGTGAAGTTGACAATTACCTATGTAAAGATACTGCTTCTGACAATTACCTATGTAGAGATACTGCTTGCAGCCAATGATGCATGAAATCTTTTGTATAATATGATGTTATGGGGTAGAACTGGATAAGTCTGACTTCTTCCTACTCCATTCAAACATGTACTAGGTGTAAGCAAACTGATTTTGGTTTAGCATTGGTTGGATATGTGTAATTATGTGTGTGTTGCTGTCATTTGTTCTGTTCTGTATGTTTGAAAGAATAAATCAAATCAAATCAAATCAAATCAAATCTTCATGCCAGATGGAAACTTGCGCTGTGGTCTGCACGGTGTGTCCTTCCTGTTGAACTAGGGCCCTTTAATGGTGCAATGCTTAATTATCTAATGAACTGTTGTTATCCCCTATGGCCCCTCTCTGCTCTATAGCTTAGTCACAAGTTTCCCCATTGAGCAATCTTGTCACAGCACAACCGCCCTGTTATTACATCAACATCAGTAACATATAGTGAATACACATAAGGTATAATAAATCACCATTAGCATTGTGGTTAGCCTAAGACATTAGGGTATGAAAAATTAACCACAATCTGCAGACTAATGCCTCTTATTTGATTACTTTCCTCTTATGAACGATTTTTTGTTGATTCAATAATATGGCTAATGACCTCAGGGTTACGACCACATGGGATTCTGTGACATCAACACCTTTAATGCAAATGGTTATGTAAGAAATTTAAGGATTATCATAATAAACAAACAATCACACTCCTGAACTCCAGTGATTAGAAGAAACAACACAACCAATTGCATTTCATACTTGGGTAACATAAACGTCAAAGGATCATAGGTCAAAGGTTATGAGTAAAAACCAACATAATCGCAAGGTTAAAATATACAAGGTAACTTGTACTATTGATTATATGGCACAGCAAAATATCACTAATTCTGGATCTATGCATTAAAGCTATTTCTGATTCAACTACAACTATGAGTAAGGATGAACACTGCAATTTTGCATAAAATATAACTTTATTGTACCACTTCTCATGGGACTGTTCGAAGTAGTTTCTTTTTACATACAGACAATAGTTAGCTGTACACATTGGTCTATGGTCATTAATCAGTTTTATGGCCTCAGGCCCCAGGAAAACATATGACAGGAAGACTACAGCAAGCTGCTGGTGTTTTGCAGGTCATCAAATCAAATCAAATTTTATTTGTATAGTGCCAAATCACAACAAAAGTCATCTCAGGACACTTTACAAAGTAAGTTCCAGACCTTACTGTTATCACTATTATTACACAGGGTCAGCAGATCTCACACATTCTCAGCACCCATAACAGACCATTAAAATTTAAAGAGCAGGGATCCAAAAAGAAAACAAACTCTCAAGTAGAAAAAAGACCTTCAATTAGATAAGCCACCCACTCGCCACAAGGAATGCAAAGTTTTTATTCTGTTTTTTGATTAAGTATGTGTTTCCCAAAATATCACCTTCTCTTCCCAAAAGCAATATTTTTATGTATCTGTGTGGGTGTGTGCACGCGTGCCGATATATCCTTCTGTCACTTATCTGAAAAGAACATTAAAGCACTCCTGAAATGAAGATGTCTGATGAGTGAGCTCAGCAATTTACCTTTTAGAGAATTGATGTGTTTTGAGAAATAGCATAATGGCCTGAAATGATGTTTCTCAACACCTGAAGACAGAATATACTGTATGTATATATACTGCAGAGATAGGTCGCATCACTGGCGGGGACGAAGCCGCCTATAGGAGGGGGGGGGCCGATCTGGTGTCATGGGGCTAGGACAATAATCTCAGCCTCAACACGGACAAGACGAAGGAGATGATGGTGGACATGAGGAAGGAGAGGAGAACTCATCAGTCACTGTTCATCCAGGGGCTTGAAGTGGAGAGGGTGAGCAACTTCAAATCCCTGGGCGTCCACATCAGTGAGGACCTCACCTAGACACTTTACACCACACAGCTGGTAAAGAAGGCCCAACGGCGGCTGTACTTACTGAGGAGGCTGAGGAGTTTTGGCATGTCGCCTAGGATCCTTTGCAACTTTGACAGCTGCATCATTGAGAGCATCTTGACCAGCTGCATCACTGTCTGGTATGGCAGCACTACTGCTATGGACCGCAAGCACCTGCAGAGAGTGGTGGACCGTGGAGAAGATCACCAGGACTCCACTGCCCTCTCTGCAGAGCATTTGCCACCACAGGGTGCATAGGAAAGCTGCCTCCATCCTCAAAGACCCCGGCATGGAATGTTCACACCCCTACCCTCCAGCCGGAGGTTCAGAAGTGTGAAATGCAGGACCTCTAGACTGAAAACTTTCTTTCCCTCTGCCATTAAACTTCTAAACAGCTGAGGAGTTTATTACCAGGAAATATGTCATGTACTGTCGACCTGTATTGTTTACATTCTCAGTTTGCACATGCATAATTGCACATTAACTGTTGACTGCTGTACATGCTGCTCCCATGTAGCATACATTCTCTAATTATATTATTATATTTTTTTATTATATCTCTGCATTTGCTGCTTAAAGTGCCTTAGGTTTTGTGTTACTTATTTCTCTACTTTATATTTCATTTGTATTTTGTGGCATTCATTTGTGTGGCAAAGTAAGAATTTCAGTGTACAGGGAAACGCATTTCCTAACTGTGCATATGACAAATAAACATTCTGACCCTTGACCCTTAAGGAGAGTAAACCAAATGTTCTCTACTGAGCCATTCAAGGTGTACTCTCAGTGGCAGGGTAATAACATGAGAGCAGACCAACCAAGGCTGGAGACTGAACAGTTCTGGAAGAGCATATGAGAAAAGGAGGAATCACATAACAAGTATGAAGAGCTGGACAGCACCAGGCCCTGACATGATCCACGCCTACTGGTTAAAGAAGCTAACTTCACTCCATGAATGCCTGGTGGGACAAATGAACCAGCTAATAATGGATGGAACCCACCCTGAGTGATTAACTGAAGGCCAGGCAGTCCTGATCCTGAAGGACCCTCAGAAGGGAGTAGTACCATCCAACTACTGCCCAATAACCTGCCTCTGCACAACAGAGGCATCATAGCAGCTAAGATGAGCAGGCAC